TGAACACACTTAGGTGATCAGAATCGAATAGGTATTAGCGAAAGTGCACAACACATGAGACATGGATGCAGTGTAGGTAATGTTCGTTGCCGAATCACCAAAATACTCATTAATGGTGACAGTTGTCCTGTGAACCTAGTCAGCCAAAGCGTAAGAGAGGAAAATATCAGAGGTGTGTAACCCCGAATTTTAATGAGGTGCGACTGAAAATTTCCCAGCAAGAGAACCATCCAAACCTACAAATGCTATGAGACCAAATAAGTGAACCGAGAAGTGGATCGTCGAGGCGTCACACGATAAGAAAACGAAATTGTATAGAATTACGTACGCACGTTACTAGCTTCACGAGAGCATACCATAATTCCACGATGGTTGGTATGTCTAACAGCATCTTCGCGATGCCAATTTGTAGTCTAGTTTCAACGAATGATTCCGCGGCAGTATTTCAAGATGCGATGGATTCTCGCCTGGCAAGTGTCCACTCTATAGAATTACACAATGTTGGTTTAACAACACTGAAGTGGTGGATGCGGTTTACCACTAAATAAAGCCCCTACCTCTTGCTCCAGCTTTGTGGAGCGGTACATTCAAGCAATCTGATGCCGAACTTGTGGAGACGATTGGGCCCCTGTTTTGGCAACCGATCGAAGGAGGGGTGTATGAGTGGGGAAATCAGGCAAATTTTCCCAAGCGGCGTGATTACTTAGATTTCACACTTTGTTGCTGATGGATTGTTAAGGCAAGTCAATGGCTCCGGGTGGGATTCCCTAGGTCAACCCCCTACTTTTGCATGGGCAACCGGGCACCATCAAGCCCTCCGATAAAACCAAGGACTCTACGAGGACCACTACCACGTCACAGTCTGCTTATGCCTTGTTCACTACTTATGTACTTAGATTACACACTGAGCATACCTTCGATAATAATCCTCGTTCGTTCGGATCGCCTTTAAATGTCCGTCTCGACGATGCTTAAAGAATCCGGTAGGTGGAGATCCTTCGACCATGGTCGTCATTCTGGTTGGCGACGGTTAAAGTACGAAAAAATCGTGCAGATTTGACAGCAGGCCTGCCAAGCGAGCACTCTGATGTCCCTCGTTATCCATTTTTGGTGTCTTTCCGAAACGCGACTATAAAATCTCAGCACCGTGGTTAAGTTGACGTCCCCTGCTGATCCCAAGCCAACTATTTACTGCGTCTGCCTGGTGACACAGAAGCAGCTGCAACCGGCTTTGCTGGCGCTGGTATCGCGTCGAATGACAAAACTGAGTCTGCACTGCTTGATCGGTTTGCAACTGACAGACGACCGTGTGGTTCGGCTTCAAGGCTTATGCAGAATCAACAGACATCGTGGAGGGAGACGCGACTTGTCTGTCATCTAAGCCTACACTCCAAGTGACTGCACCTGTGCATCGATTAAGGACTGCTTTTATTGCAGACTCTACCAGCTGTTGAGTAAAGCAGAAAAACCAAGCTTCGCTGTCCCTACTTGAGGCTTCAATCACGGATCGTTCAACTGATTCCATGCGAACGTCATATTACTGACCACTACGTATTTGGTGCTGGTCGCTCTGATGACGTAGAATTTTCACATTATGTGAAGAGATCCTTCTCTCTCCAGCAGAAAATCCAGGTATATGTGAAGTTTCGCAAACTGATATCCCGTTTCGCAAACGCAGTCACAAATCGTTCATATCAATCAGCTTCATGTGATAAACAGCATAGAGGACTGTAAATCGGCTTAGTCCACCCACTTAGACAGATCGCAGTGTCCCATTAGGAGATCTGTAAGCGCTACGGGGGTTTATCAAAACCAAAGCACCATATGCTTAATACCAACAAACGTACTGATCTCCCCACACAACTAAGCTATCAATCTTTATCAAGAGCGCTCATCAGCGCCCCACCTCATGAAGTGTTATCAAGGTTTCTTGCAGAAAGTGATATTTCATTAGGACAAGCAGTCTGTGAAATCACCCGTCGCGTTCCGAGATGCTAGATCTTCATTTCTTCACTGGAATTGACTGATCCTCGGCGAGCTAGTCCGGTTGATGTAAATAGAAATGAATAACGCCCCAATCTCAGCTAATAAGTCAAGCAAAGTCTGCGTACTGATCGTAAAATGGAGTGGTCTTAGTGTGTTTCAGAGATGGAGACAGCTCTTCAGGTATTCGCAAGCTTTCTCGAATCATTCGGAGCGCTGATCACATAAAAGCTGGAATAATTGAAGCAATTGTGGGGATGACTGATCTCCGACCAGTAACTTGTGTAGGTGCATAGACCACTGAGCTGAACACTAACTCCGAATTTAGTTAGCCTCCTCTGCCGGCATGTCAAACAAGTATGCTTAATTGCGCGCCTTGAAACGTCTCCCTAAAATTACCCACAGGCAGACTGCCATAAACACCGATAGTTGAAGCGATTCAAGACTGCTGGATCAAACGGACTTCCTCTGGAACTGCTTATGGTGGCGAGGTAATGGTCAAGAAAGTAACGGCTTCGTCCTCCAAAATCTGGAGAAGATAAGGTCCCAATATTTAGGAGTTAGATCCTCAGGAAGGATAGCCGAGCGTATGCACTAATTAGAGGAATCAGTCCAGTGTCGATTATCTTAAAGATGTTAGCGCGTCTAGTCTGCTTTGCGAAATATCCTGGATCCGAGAACTATATTGTAAAGGATGTCGTTGCTCTGGGGGCAAGCCCTGTCCTCTGCATGTTCATAACATGCATGATAATGGAGGATGAGCCACGCTATATCGCACCACCATCATCAGTACACACATAAGCTGCAAGTGGAAAACACCTCAGCTATTGTGCCGCAATGGGACGATAAGGGTAAAAAGCGTTAGAAAGAATAACAAGACGAGAGGGTTTGAGCAGTAGTATCCAAACGCCTACCCACCCCGCTCGATGTAGCAGATAGGGCACCGTTGATTATCCTCTGTGATGGCCAAAACATCAGGAAATTGTTTGAGAAAAGATTCATTGTATTGCATGGGCAGGATACTGTCAGATTGCCAAGAACTAGACAGGATAACAATTAGGGTTCTCAACCAAAGCCTTTGGTTCATAAACCTGACCGCAAGGTTCGGCAGTGGACTACAAGGAGTCCGTTTTAAGGAATAAGGAGCTACTCTCATTCCAACCCTTCATCTGGAGAGCCAATTGACAGAGTTTGTCTAGGTTCTGACCATTGACAAATCTGGTATGAGTGGCTCTGAAGGTGCAAGAAAGCGCCATTCAACATAGCTCAATGGATTAGTGAGGCACGCAAACCATGGCACCCCGGTATATAACACAGATATCAATCATGGCAGTCCGTTGGCGTCGCTCATGGCTCAGTGGCATAAGTCGCTGGCTCGCAAGAGTAGGGTCGTGGGTTCGAATCCGGTAGGAATCGGCAGGTGCGCGATACTAATGAGTCCCAATAGGACGAAACGGCCGTCCAGCGTTTTCCTGTATGTGTGGTGGCTGTCAACCTGAGTCGGAGACGAATCTTCATAAATACCCCATAAATCCCTCTATTACTTACAAACTATATACCCGTGAAGAACAGGCTGGCTTCCGCCTAACTCGAGGGTGTGTGGACCATACTTTTACTCTCTACCAGTTACTCGAGCAGCGTCGCATTTACCGCCAACCTGTTAATGTTGACCTGGATATCCGGGCTGAGGTCGGTCAGTTTTATGGCGCTGTCTACAAAAGAACTGGGCACAGCTGTCTGGGTTTGTATTATTTGCCAATTCTGTGCCCAGTTGGAGAAACCTTTGAGGTTTTCAGTCAATGATATGGTAAAAAGCGTGAAGGAACTTGCCGAAAGGTTGAATCCAGCCAGAATTAGTCGATTCCCTGGATTGGACATACTATTGATTGGATATGGTGTGGTCACGGAATCAGTGGTGCGCATGCGTTATGATTCCTAACTGTTTCGTCTAAAGTAGTGGATCTCAACCTTTTTGAAGCTGTCAACCCCAAAATGGGTTCGCTATAAACAAGTATTCCCAAAAATCGTAGTTTAAAAAGTTAAATAAATATTAACTATGGCATTTTGCTTTTAAGTGTGAAAAATGAATACTATTTTTATTTACTCTCGATCACACAGATAAAGAAAGCAGTTGTTTCTGAGCAATTTTTAAATACTAAAGAGGCGATTTACGTTAATGAGACGGTTGAGATTGCATAATTAAGAAAATTTCTGATATATCTGGTGCGCTTTCGGCTAATGCACATCGTAAGCCGTGCTGCAAGTCCATTTGGTTCATTGCTTTGGTACATGGCACCTGATCAAACGTGAACAGATGCCAGTGGCTTTTTTATATGTTTCGACCATCCCTTCCAAGTCCGTCCTGGATGACAGCTTCCCACGACAACTCGCTATCGATACGTCCTAAACACTAATCACATGTTTTGTTTCTTCTACCTTGTAAACATTCGGTCGCTCCTTTACGTGGTCAGTTGACCTGGTATTTGACCCCGCAAATGACTGCCTAACTCAGAAGAACGATGATCGACGAGCAAGCCGATAGAAGTGTCATCTAGCTGCGCTGCTTTGCACGCTTTTGCTTGTATTTTGGGTTGTAAAATTTATTACCGAGCATTGTCTAACCTACTGATCAACTACCAAACACTACTCACTGATGGTTAATCAGTAGTGATTAGGTAGTTAGTTACAGGTTTTAATACAGATGAGCTTGTTATTAGTTTTGTGTGACGACCCAACCCTCGTACATAGATTTACCACTCCCCGTAAAATTGCATTTTACACACTTGGGGGTAATTACTCCAAGGTTGAGAACCACTCGTCTAAAGGTTTTATTTCTTGCCTACCTGTCTTGAATGATTGTTATAATTATGTTGGCAACGTGTCATAGCACCAGGAGTTAACGCGCCTCGGCGCAAGAGTCGTCGTTGACAAAGTCAATTGAACTAAACCGTCAGATGCCGATAGTGGTCTAATTAACTATTACCGTGATGAAGTATAAGCATGAGGTAAAAAACGGAAGCAGATTGAAATCACTGAATGCCACATGCGCATGTGAAGTAGTTCGATGGAAATGCAAATAGTGGATAAAGTTTGAATCCTGATATTTTGCTCTGTGAGAACGCGTAGGTGACCAACCGTTAAGCCACAAAATTCTGGTACTTGGATCCGCAGGTTTGAATATATTTAAGCTACTTGAAAAAGTGAGGGTTAATGCTTCATCTCCAGATAGACACTACAGTTCTGCGGCGAAAGAACACATCACGGCGTCTAAAAGACAGCAGTCCATCAGCTATGGAGTCATTAAAATAGGAAAAAGTTCTTTGCAATGAAAATCCGACAAACAATTGAAGCCGCGAACAAAGCGAAATAATGTGAATAGAAGCTGAGTTGAATACCGTTTATTACAAGACTGTGCATTGACATGCAAATTTTCCTTGACCAACAAATTGGTAGATAGAACGGAAACTGCACGTAAATGTGGGAACGAAAGACGAGTATTCTCATTTTGCAACGGGAGCGACATATTAGTCTGCTGAAAAGATTCGTGACGAAACGTCTTTAAGTAACCAATTGACACCTTCAAGGAGGTTTTCCCCTGTTACCGCACTGCAACCAAAGATGCACCAATGGTGCGTTTTGATCTCATCGAGGCCCAGCGCTTCACGGATTTGTGCGGGTCGAAGTGAGGAAGCCAAATCCTGCAGACGCAAAAACACGATAACGCAATGGATTCAATGATGAACGATGATAAGCGACCATAGGAATCAAATGCATGCATAAATGAAAAACGGAAAAAGAACAAATACGGATACGTACAGTGGGAAGGAAGAAGAATAGTGGGAGAGCAACGGAAAGAAAAGTTGATGCTAAGTGGCATAGGCGGTTTTGATACTTCCACCGCAAAGACCAGGATGAAAAATTCATGGCCCTTTCTGCGTCTTAACACCACCACTGCTTTCATTTCTTACTTCCCACGGCCCCGTTGCCGCAGAGTTCGAAGTAAAAACATCATTGAGCGCAAGATTCAGAGAGACGCCCAACAGCGCCATGTGAATCGAAAGGTGAAAGGTAACAGAAGATTAACCAAACTATACCTAAAAAAGGACAGTTTGAATTGGTGCTCATGTCGGGCAATTCTGCTTTTTCTTCTTCCATCGGTTTAATCAAGAAAATCAAGAGCTGGCATGATTTTTGGAACAGACACTGCAACAGTCAGCGGTGTAGATCCGTCACAGGTAATAACAGCCATACAGTTGCCGAACACCAGAGTGAGACCGTTCTGGCCGACTACGGCCAGTCACGTATACAAGCAGGGACATTCGAACTAACGACCAGGCCGGCCTGCAGTTTAGCGACCCATTCCGCTGGAATATGTAGACCGTTCAATTCAGCTTAGTTCAGCTGAACAACTCTGATCCGAGCACCGAAGCACGGTGGATGCAGTTGCCACGACTCATATCGCAAGAATAACAATCAATAGCAACGGCAAGAAAGTGGGGCTGAATTGAAAGAGAATGGAAAGAAAATAAAAGCAAGAAGGAGGTGCGCTAGACTAACCAGAATGGAACGAAAATTAACAACCAGATGCAAGAAACTGAATGCAGGAACGCCACTGACTACGTGACTGCGACATGTCAGATACGGTCTCTAACCATTGGTGTGGACCATCCCGTGGCCCCCATTCAGAAAGACGACAGGCATCAGCCTAACCAAGTTTCTCAGTCAATTTCTTCATGCCACTATGCCACGTCATGGACTGGCCACATCGCGATTTCGCCCAAGTTGGTGCAGCCACGGCGTATAATGCACGCTGAGGAAGTCGGTCAACCGGTGTAGGAGGACATGACCTAGCCAATGTAGGCGGTTAAGATTCAGCAAATGAGTGAGGCACCGGAAGGTTGCTTGCCAAAATCCGGCTGGCGGACCTCAACATTGCTCAGCTGGTGATCCCACTAGACGTGAGCAATACTCCGCAGGCACCGGTAGTCAAACAAGGCCAAGCGTTTATTATCTTCTCCGCAGAAATGTCTTTCTACTAACTGTCATACAGTGAGTTGAATCCCGCACCGCCACGCCCATTACTGTGGAGGACAAAAACGGCCAGAAATGTCTAAGTAATCGAACCGTTAGTCTTATCACCAATGTCTAAAATAGCCGCACGAAAGATACTGGGTGATTCACTGATACCTGGGATAATGAAAGTTGCGAAGAACAAGTTGGAATCCGAAAATGCGCCTTGGAGTACCCGCCGTGTGATTGGACTGCAACACGCACTCTACTGGAATCCACCCACCCAGAAGAGGCGTTGGTCACATTGCATGCCTCTAGAGATGCATAAAGTGCCTCGTACAGAAGACAGACTGCCCTGTTCCTTGCCTCGAAACCGCTCTTAAGTGAGCTGGTCGCACACTTTTGTGGTGATGTCTAACGTCAAAGGGTGGGACAGGAAAATGTCATTCTACGTTAACATCGATATAACGCAAATCCCAGGGTCATGTCAGTCAAGGGAAAGTGGTACCATCATCAGACCTAGTGAGACTCGTCAGGGATGCCACAAGTTTGCACTCCAACCTTGTGATCGAATTAAGCATGACTGATTTTGTTCCAGCTATTTTCACCTCCTCTGGATTACAACCTCCGTTGGATGATCGAATCTAAAACTACGTATCCTGACGACATATCTTTCTTGGGATCGACCCCACATTGCTATGTAAGCGCTGCTGAACAAGCCAACGCACATCGCCGGCCACTACTAGATGCGATCCACGTGGTTAAATTGCAAGCTACTGTTACAGAACTGGACAAATGTACAATTTGTTCTTATCAGCACCGAGTGGTTACCAGTGGTGGCCGACCAGTGCACTTATCCTAGTAGTTTTATCAGCTCTAGTGATTAAGGCAGTGAAGTCCCTATGTAAACCGCTAAAGTTTCATAATTTTTCAAAACGTAAATAACCTATGGAGAAGGTGGGGTAGGGGTTCGTTAGTCAAGGATGAAACACACAACGCTGCCGTGCGAAAGGTGCTACTGTGTGTGGAGCAGGAACATTACCACTGCGCGTTGAAGACAGAGTATGCGAAGCGACAAGTAGAATCACCGAGTGAGCAACACGTAGGTCGATCATTTGGTGTTTTGCAACAAGTCTGTTGGTATTGCCTCGTGTCGTTTCTTGTGCTCTATTTGTCTACGTTTGTTACCTTATATTACTCGGATGCCTTCTGGGCACTAAACTCGGAATGCACTTTGTGCGAATAATGAATCGAATTTGGTTACTCCCATAGTCAATAGATGAAGAGAGTAACCGCAAGATTAGGTTGCACAGGTGCACGCTATTCTCTCGGAAGTAGCTCACTGAATGGAAGTCCCTAGTAGCAAGATATGGTTTTTTCTATCTAATTTCAAAATTGTTGATAGCCATTCTTGTAGCATGTGGAGGTAAAATTAACTGGATTAATACCACTTCGGTGAACGGATCATGGCTGATCGGCTGAACTGGGAAGCATGTGAGGTGGAGAGACCAAAGCGACAGGAAACGTCCGGTGGACGTCTGCAGTAAAAATGGTGCTGCATATCAGCTAGAATACGGTGACTGTGGTTGTGGCTCGGAGGAACCATTGAAACGCTTCGGGACCGAAGTTGTTAACACGATTTGGCCAAGGCACGAGTAACAAGCCGTGGTGGAATCAATTACTATGGCTAAAGCACTCACCACACTGAGATGCAAACTCACATGTTGACAGAACTGAAACCCATCTGTGACTTCAGTGGGCAATATGCCCGTAGTACTCGTGGGGACGTCAACGGTGATCGCCACTGCAATTCACTGACAAACATGCCTTACTTCTCTCAAACACTAAACACTACAGCCCTTGGTGCCAACGTGGAATTTGGCGGTTTCCATCCTCTGACAAGCCGTAAATGCATGTAGGCCACATCCCTATGGATGCTTTCTATGATCCACGTGTTTGAGACACTACGAATCCGATAGTCCAAATGAGGAAACTAATCTGTTACCGGAGGATTGCCCTTCCCAAAAGCTCTGAACTGTCAAAGCCTTCCCATCTGAATGGGGCTTACTGGAGGTTGCGTCTGTTCTCAGAAGATATAACACAGATGAATGTGCCAGCTACTGGGTATTTGGTATTAATAATGATTAGGAGAATCCTTCATGAAAACTTACTAACCAATCCGGAAGAACACCAGACGGTCGTTTCCCCATTGGAGCTCGTCGGTGGTGCGCATCCTCCGGCTCCAGCAGGAACCAAACTCAACCGTAAGAAGCTTGCACCATTATCCAGCAGTTTATAGCATTGATCAATGGGGAGCGGAAACAAACGGTCATAAATTGCAAGCGAACTGGGATATAATGCGACCCCCCTTCCACTGCCACACAGGTTACTACCATTGCAGAGGACATTGGCTAGCCTGTAGAGGTCAGGACCTTAGTTCAGTCGCGCTGGGTGTCCGTCACCCAGCTCAAATGAAGGCTCAAGAGACACGAACAAGACATACATGAACGGTGAGCTGGGTTCCGATCAAATCACAGCAGCATCATCGGTGCATGTCAGCTGTGAGTGTGGAACACACTACACCTAATGTGTCGCAATACAAAAAACGATATTGAACGTTATGCGCTAAAAAAGTAAAAAAAATATGATGGTATAAACCATACTGCGCAGCGCGTACGCGTTTAAGGAGGAAATTAAAGTGGAGGGGGGGAATAAAGAAATGCACAGCACAATGGCCAATGAGATCGCCTGTTCCGTAGGTCCACTAATGTATCCAACCAGATTTGTTCATCGTTCTTCGGACCCAAGCCAGACAGTCGGGAGACACCAACCGAGGCCAATTTCGAAGTGAAGGCCTTCATTTCTCTTGACCAACTCATTGTTTGGCCTCTCCTCCTCTTCTTCCCTCCACATGCCGGTCGCGCAAACACAGCGGGAGTCGGTGGGCTGGCATGTGCAACACGTGGCCCAGCCATCGGAGTCTGGTGAGTGAAATAACAGTGCTAACTGGTTAACACGCTCTCCCTGCATTGAATACGCAACGCCGAACACGTCCATTGCTCACGCTGCGTTTCCATCGAAAATGAGCCAAACTACGAAGTCAGCGGTGATTGAACACAACTAGCATCTTGATCACTGACAAAAAATGATGAGTCGTTTCACAACCGTATAAGAGGGTCGAACGGACGGCTGCATTGTAAACTCAATTCTTCAGGGGACAGTGATGTCGCGCCAGTGCCATAGATGATGGAGATTGGCAAAAGCACCTCGAGTTTTTGCTATGTGGTTCGTGACCTCATTCTCTACTTCAGTGGCGCTTAGATAGTTGCCTAGATGCATAAATTTCCAAATAATCGCCATAAAGAGTAGTGGCAAGAGGACTTTGCATTCCGAGGGTGCAAAGTATAGCCCAAAATGATTGACAGCCAGTGCTACTTGGCACGTTTGGGAGCTGTCACAGATTAGAGCAGTCCCGTCGACTTACTCCAACTCAAGAAGTCGCTCACTAGTAAGCAGCTCCACATCTTGTAGATCGTGTCCAACAAACGTTAGTTTAAAGAGGAAAGGTGGCAGTGCGCAGCCTTGTCTCACAACACTGAAGATATTAAAGGGCGGCGAGTTCGTGGTAAAAAAGCACTCCGTCCTAACTATGCGCGTATAGCACTATTCTGAAATTTACATGTTTATC